GAATCATTGCAAACCAGACGAGGCTGCTCATACCTTCGAGATGTTCTCCTAGGACCTCTTTTCGACCCTGATGTCATCATGGTTTCTTCATCCTTCTTATTCGTGTCACTAAGATTATCAGATTCAATCTGGACAGCCTGAGTTGCGGCTTTGAGTACTGCTTGACTTATAATTCTTCCTGTGTTAAGGCCATTCTCAACCATTTCCCCAATTTTGATTGCTTCCGAGAAGGATTTGCCCACTGCGGACATCATGTTTTGAAAATAATCTGGCTCTTGAGCCTGAAGGAAAATAGTGATTAGCTCGTGGTCATCCATGGGTGGCTTAACTCTAGCCGCTTGCTCTCTCCATTTAGTGGCATATTCCCTGAAACTTTCAGTTGGTTTCTTCTTCAGGTTTGAAAGAGAATTGCGGTCTGGGGCGTTATCGATGTTGTATTGGAACTGTCTGACAAAGGCCCGGGCCATGTCATCCCAGACATGCCAGTGAGAAGAGTCTTGGTCAATAAACCATTTAAAGGATACCCCCGTAAGGTTTTCCCCAAAATAAGCCATTAGTAATTCTTCATTTCCTCCCGCACCTCTTAGCTGATTGCAATACCTTTTCAGGTGGGCTATGGGGTCTCCATGTCCATCATACTTTTTGAATTTGTGAGTCTTGAAACCAGGTGGCAAACGAACATCGGGGAACATACATAGATCCTTGAAGGCAATACTCTTCTGACCTGCCAAACCTTGCATGTTTTTCAACTGTTGTTCTAAGCTTTTCACTCTTTGAGTCATTTCTTCTTGTGCCATCTTTTGGGTAGGCTTCTCAATCTTTGCTGGAAGATCAAATCGGTACGAGTGGTACTCAAGAGAGTGGTACTGTTCTTGCTGGGTAGCAAATTGTGACTCATGACAAGGCTGTCCTTGGCCATTGGCCCATGCTTGACACATTTCGGTCATTTGCTGTTTCAGTATTCTATTTTTCTCAATCACTGTAGACTCTTGTTGAACCCTCGTAACAGCTTCGATGTCAGTTGTCATTGGCATTTTTCTCTTGGATCTTGTGAATTCTGGATGTGTTGCCAGCTTACCACAAACCAACCACCTCAAATTTTCTTCACAATTCAAAACAAGAGACACGTTAAAGTGGACTCAGTCGGTCCTTATTATTATCAACATCATTTTTTTAGCACTTTTTTTTAAGTGGTCGATCGAACCTGATGTGGGTTGCCTACGTATCATGTGGGAACATGAATCAGATCTTGCGTAGTTCGGGAAGATCGCGAATAAAGTAAATAAACTAACTCTTTTTTTTTTTGGAATTTGAAATTTTTTGTTTTTGTTTTTTCTAATTTCCGAAAGAAAGACTTATAAAGAAAAAGAAAATATTTTTGGATTTCGATTTTTGTTTTGAAATATTTTTGGATTTCGATTTTTTGTTTTTTTTTTGGGTTTTTTTTTGGAATTTCGGAAGAAAATTTCTAAGGAAGAAAAGAAATATTCTTTGATTTCTGGACTTTTATTTTGAATTTATGGAAGAAAGACTTCTAAAGAAAAAGAAAATATTTTTGAATCTTGAATTTTCTTTTCAATTTTCGAAAGAAGAATGAAAATATTTTTGGATTTTGATTTTTGTTTTGAAATATTTTTGGATTTCGATTTTTCTTGGTTTTTTTAGAATTTCGAAAGAAAAACTTCTAAAGAAGAAAAGAAATATTTTTTGATTTCTGGACTTTTATTTTGAATTTATGGAAGAAAGACTTCTAAAGAAAAAGAAAATATTTTTGAATCTTGAATTTTCTTTTCAATTTTTGAAAGAAGAATGAAAATATTTTGGATTTTGAGAAGAAATTAAAAGAAAATATTTTTGGATTTTTAAAAATTGGGGTCTAAAAGAAAGACTTTCTAAAGAGGGAAGTAAAGGAAAATATTTTTGGATTTTTTGAAAATTATGGGCTGGTACCGATGAGGTTTGCCTACGTATCTCACATCCGGTGAGAATCAGACCCGCGTTGTTCAGCCAGTTTGACGCAACAAGAAAGTATGACTTATTTTGGAACGACCTTTTCTCTCTTTTTTTTCAAAATTTTGGCAGAGTTTTGGGATATTTTGAACACCAGGTTTTTTTTGGAAACAGATGATTTTCTCTCTCCTACCTCAATCTTGGTTTTCCTTTAATTTTCCTTCCCTAATCTTGAAACCGGTCAACATGCAAGCCGAAATAAATAAATGCACAAATAGCACGTAAAAATGCATCAGGATGGTCTTTTTATTTTGGGTACACCTGTCCTAGACGGACCCAACCCCTGTGTTGAGTCCCCAAAGTCAAATGCACGTGATGCAAACAAGCGTTCCTACTAGGGATCCGGCATGAGGCTATGTTATTCTAGGTTTAAAACCTGGGTGTATTGTTCTAGACCTGGCTTACCCGAGCGGACAACTCGAGCCGAGGGGGGAAAACGTACCGGTAACCAAAAGGCCATTCAGCTTTGTAACTGATTCGAACCTCGTTCTAAATTAGGGTATGACACTAACAGAAAAGAAGTCACGCCAGCGTGCACTTCCCAGAAGATTTAGAAGACTCAGAGAGAAGAAGGGTTCCGTAACAGTTTACATACAGTTCAAACAATATCAAAAGCGGTAAAAAGCGGGATTTAGCACATTAGGCTCAAACATGCAATAAAAATCAGATAATAAATAAAAGCCAAGTATAAAAGTTATTCTAAGCTCGAATTCTTGAACCCTGAACCAGAGATTTTGGGTTCCTTTCCCCAGCAGAGTCGCTAGAGCTGTCACACCTCCTTTTTCCCGACGGGGGTATATGGAGTTTTTCCAATTTAAGTGACAATAATCGAAATGGAATTATTTATTTAATTCAGAGTCGCCACTTGGGATAATTATATGGTGTCCCAAGTCACCGGTTTATTTTAAATCCCAAATCGAGGAAGTTTTATTAACCCGGGAGAAGGTGTTAGGCATTCTCGGGTTCCGTGGTTTTAGCACGGTCGCTTAACTATTAATAGTGGCCTAATTATCTGATTTATTAAATATTTAAAACCTATGTGCATTTTATTCCTTTTAACCGCTTCTAACATTTATGGAATTTATTTGAACAAGTCGCGATATCGCGCCCTAGTTTGTTTTTGTACATATCGCGAATCGCGTCACAGGAACCGTACCCATGATCTACAACATGTTTATTTTACTATTGTTTGAAGTTATGATCGGGTCACATGAAATGCACACCCGAATTGAGATTTACGTACCGTGACCATGCCACGGGAACCATACCCATAGTCACGATGAATTTATTATTAATCGCGCCTAAAGCAAGCTACGATGTTTACAAGTTATTTTAACCTATTTAATTAACTCTTTAAATAGTAAACATAACATGCAGTATTAAATGAGACAGAGGTATTAAAATGACGTAAAACCTCTATGTTAAATTTTCCAACATTGTAACATAAACACTCTCATCATTAGAGTCACATGCCAAGATATAATTGAAATCAGAATAAAAGTGGAAAGGTCAATAAAGGTGGGTTTAAGTCTTATAATTGAGAATTATATCTCAAGACCTAATGCTCTCGGTGCACGATAAGCCAAGGGAGGCTAACGTGCACTGACGATGGTGAGAAGGCGCAAAAACACAACACCGGTGACGGCCACTGTAACACCGGCGACCTTAGGGATGAAGTCATTCACTCCATTAACGTTTGGAAGTTTTCTACCCACTCGATTTCAACCAATTCGAGAGGAAAATGAGCTGAGCGAGGAAGATGAATGCAACAGTAATCAATGGAACAGTACAAAGGAAGTGAAGGAGAAGGAAATTCAAAAAGGCAAAGACAAATTGCGAACGAGCCCGCGAAGACTACAATTCTCTGAAGCTGGATCCTCAGCTCTACCTTCACCAGATCTAGAACAAACAGCAGCAGCTGGAACTGGAATGGAGAAGGAATTGCATGCAAAAGAGCTCAGGCAGCAGAACCGTAATTCTCAGATGGGGATGAAGCTGGAATATGTGCCGCCAAGTCATCGAGATGGTAAGATAGTTATTAAAATTGTGGAAGAAGATGTAAGTATATTGAATGAACACTGGGCGACAACTCTAATAAGGTATGTGCTTGGTGATGCTCCATATGAGAAATCTATGGAAAACTATGTTGAATCTGTGTGGGACTTTGTCACCAAACCCCAAATTCTATACCACAAGGATGGATATTATGTATTTCGATTTGCAACAATTGAGAAAGGATTTAGAATGCAGCAGGGCCTATCTTACCACATAAGCCACTTATTTACAGAATTGGAAAGGGACTTCCATTTTGACCCTAAATGTATTACTACAATCCCCTTGTGGGTTCATTTTCCTAGCCTGCCTGCTGGATACTGGACTGCTGATGCTTTGAGCAAAGTGGCTAGTGCTGTAGGATTACCAATATACACTGATAAATTCACAGATGAGTTGAACAAAATTTCCTATGCTAGAGTACTAGTAAAAGTTGACTTTACTAAGCCTTTGGTGGAGAGTATTGAGATTGAAACTCCTACTAGAACCAGGCAGCAGGAAATTTTGTATGAATGGAGACCAAAGTTCTGTAGCGATTGTGTGCATTTTGGTCATGATAACTTTGAATGCTGGAAAACCAACCAGAAGAATCCTGAAGATGCTGAATTTAAAGTTCCTAAAAGAAGAAATAGGAACAGAAGGAAAAGAGTAGTTCAAGAGTGGAAACCAAAAGGCCAGCAAAAACAAGGAGAGGTGATAGAAGAACAACCTTCAACTGAAGTAGACAAGGGTAACCAGGAAACAACTGAAAAAGTACCTGATCAAATTATGTAGATGGCAAGCAGGAATGAAGGAAGCATGGTACAGAATAAGCCAATTATGCAGAAGGGAAAAATTGTAAAAGCTAGCACCTCAGACAGATTTACAATACTGGATGAGTGTGGGCAAAGTTCTGTACAGGGAGTTGCACTGATGACTGAGCCTATACAACAACCACCATGATCATTAGCACCTGGAACATAAGAGGGCTTAATAAGCCCTATAAGCAGAAGGAGTTAAGAAACTTTCTGCAAAAGAATAAAGTAGACATCCTTGGATGTTTAGAGACTAGAGTTAAAGAAAAGAAGGCAAAAAATATACTGCAAAAGGTAGCAAAGGATTGGAGATATTGCTGTAATTATTCTAAGGGTGAAAATGGAAGAATATGCATACTATGGAGAACATCTTTGGCTGTAAAGATAGTTCACATTCATGAGCAATTTATCGAATGCTTAGTAGATGATCCAATGACTAGTATTCAGATAATGGTGACAGTGGTCTATGCTAGAAATAAGCTACAGGAAAGGGCAATACTTTGGCATGATTTGCAGCAGATAGGGGGGCAGACTCAGATCCCCTGGCTCATAAGTGGAGACTTTAATAATCTTCTAACCACAGATGACAGGCAAGGACAACTAGTGACTGCTAGTGAGGTTCAGGAGTTTAAACAATGCATTAGTAACATGCAGCTGACCCCATTGAGAACAAAGGGATGCTTTTTTACATGGTGCAACAAACAGGATGCACATGCTAGAGTGTATAGTAAGATTGACTGGGCTTTTGGAAATTTCAAATGGACTAAGGATTATGGGCATGTGGAAGCAGATTGCCTAGAGCCAGGTGTGTCAGATCATTCTCCTATCTTAGTCCAAGTCTGGAAAAGAAGAACTATTCACCCCAAGCCATTCAAACTTTACATGGTAACAATGGAGCACAAGGACTTTAGGCCTATGGTGGACAGAATATGGCAACAGCAAAATGAAATGGATCCTATGACTAGTATTTGGCAAAAGTTACATAAGTTGAAGAATGAGTCTAAAGGTCTGAACAAGGAAATGGCAAATTATGAGCAAAGGTTGACAACAATAAGGCAGAGACTAGAATGCATTCAAGCAAACATGGTGCATGATCCTTTCAATCAAATGTTGATAGAACAAGAGAAGCAGACCATGCATGAATTGGAGAAATGGAGTATAATAGAGGAGAGGATATTGAGGTAGAAGTCAAGAGTAACATGGATTGACTACGATGACTCAAATTCAAAGTACTTTTATGCACAGTTGAAAATTAGAGCCAGCAAGAATAATATAACTACTGTGTATAATGATACAGGGATGAAGATTACTGATCCAAGTGCTGTGGAACAAGAATTCACAAAGTTCATCACTCAACCAATGGGGAAGGCCACTGGGTTAAAACCATGTCCAAATACTAGTTTTATTAAAGCAGGAGATTGTTTAAACCTACAGCATCAGCAGGAACTGATAAAGGAGATCACACATGAGGAGGTGGATGAAGCTGTGAGAGATATGCCAAATGACAAAGCTCCAGGGGTTGATGGTTACCCTATAGAGTTCTTCACAAAGCACTCGATGACAGTGAGGCAAGACATATATGAGGCTGTATTCAGTGGCGAAGCTAGGAATTTCTTTAAGGGTGTTCAAATTTAAAAAAAGTGAAAAAATTTACGACAAAGGGTGTTCAATATGTGTTATATACCTCTAAAACGTAATATTTTACCTACGTACACAGTACAATTTTTCGACGAAGGGTGGTCAGTTGACCATCCTTACAAGCATGTGGCTTCGCCACTGGCTGTATCCTTTTTCTTCCATAATGGTAAAATGAAACCAGCATGGAACTGTACAGCCATCACTCTGATACCTAAAGTCCCAGCACCTACAACAGTGAAAGTTTATAGGCCTATTTCTTGCTGCACTACATTGTACAAAATTATAGCCAAGATATTGACTAAAAAGATTAAAGGAGTAATTGAGGGGATCATTGGTAAGTCACAGTCTGCCTTTATAGAAGGGAGGAGCATTATAGATAACATCCTGTTTAGCTATGAACTATTCAAAGGCTATAACAGGAAGGGTCTATCCCCTAGGTGTGTCCTTAAGGTTGATATAAGAAAGGCTTATGACTCACTGGACTGGCAATTTCGTAGATACATGCTCACTGATCTTGGATTCCCACAGAAGTTCATCCATTGGGTAATGGAATGTGTGTCAACAGTATCCTACTCTTTAATGCTTAATGGTGGACTTACAAAGACTTTCAAAGCCCAGAGAGGAATCAGGCAAGGTGATCCAATGTCACCTTACCTTTGTCATTGCAATGGAATACTTGCAGAGGGAGATGAACCAACTGTACACCTTAAAGCAGTTCAAATACCACCCAAGATGTAAAAAATTGGAGGTGACACATATTTGCTTTGCTGATGATTTGCTTTTTTTTTAGGGCAGACATAAATTCAGTAAAAATAATGAAGGAAGCATTCTACAGGTTTTCTGTTGCATCTGGGCTACAGGCAAATACAGACAAAAGCTCAATGTATATAGCTGGTTCCACAGCATACCAAGGAGATGCTACTTGAGCTCACAGGTTTCAATGAAGGAACTATCCCCTTTAAGTACATGGGGGTGCCATTGTCTGCTAAGAAGTTGAATATACACCAATGTCTACCACTGGTGGAAAAGATCACTGAAAGAGTAAACTGCTGGTCTGCTAGGATGTTATCCTACTCTGGAAGATTGCAACTCATTAAATCTGTGCTATTTGGCATCCAAACATATTGGGCTCAAATTTTTCTATTGCCTAAGAAGATTATGAAGATGATAGAGACCATTTGCAGAACTTTTCTTTGGACTGGATCAAATGCCATTTCAAGAAAAACATTGATAGCTTGGGACAAGATTTGTCAACCAAAAACTGCTGGGGGGCTGAACATGATCAATATGAGGGTCTGGAACAAAGCTGCAATTATGAAACAACTGTGGGCTTTGACAATGAAGAAGGATGCTTTATGGATCAAATGGACACACAGTTACTACATCAAGAACAAGGACATTGCAGAAATGAACACACCTAAGACAACAACTTGGGTGGTTAGGAAAATCATAGAGGCAAAGAAATATGTGATGAAGATGAACTCAATGCATGGAAATGTCATATCAACTTTGACAAACTTGGTGAAACAGGGCAGGTTCCAAATTCAAAAGGCTTATATCCAGCTACTGCCTCAGCTTCCCAAAGTTAGCTGGAAGAGCATTCATCTGCACACACAGATTCATCCACGTTTCAAATTTCATTTATGGCCAGCTATTCATCAGAGAATAGCAACTGTGGACAGACTACTCAAGTTTGGGATTCAAGTACCACCTGATTGTGTATTCTGTGCAGGTACTATGGAAACTTTTGATCATTTGTACTTTGGATGCCCACACACGAGATTATTGTGGGATAGAGTACTGAAATGGCTGGGAATTACAAGAATAATTGGAAGCTGGCAAGATGAGATAGCATGGATCAGCAGTATAGCCAAAGGGAAGAATGGCAAAGCAGAAATCACTACAGCAGCTTTTGCCATGGTAGTATACTGCATTTGGCGGGAAAGAAACTCCATCAAATTTCAAAAAGGTCGATACATGGTGGATGAAACATGCAAGGAGATAGCTATACACATGCACATACAGGGGAGATCAAATATCAAATGGCAACAAGCATTACAAAATGTAAATAGTTATCCTTAGGAGTAGCTTGTGTTCTACATGATGTCTTATTTTAGTAAAAATCCCTGTAATAGTATTAGAGATTAGGAGATTGATGGTCAGCACCAATCTGGTTTTGTAAAGACAGTTTTTTTCATGAAATGAAATGCTAGTTTATCGGAAAAAAAAGGTCAATAAAGGCCAAATTTAGGTGACAAACTTCCAACGACATCAATGATAGAAGACAAAATTGGAATACTGTAAACATTATTGCTAAAATAATGAAAGAACTGACCTTTTACTGCCGAAATTTTAGAGAAGTTACAACAAAAAATAGAACATCTAGAACAGAAATCCTCAAGCAAGCTACGGACTAGAAACCTGGATCGAAATCGGCATCCCCGAACGGATTCATCTCTACTGGGTTTGGATGGTGGTTTCAAGCTGTTTTCACACTGGTTTGGGGTTGATTTCAGGTATGTTTATAGTTGATTTTTGGTAGTGTTTAACTGGTGATTAACGGAGGTCCATGGCTGCATTATTGAGCAGATTTTCAGAGGTCGTTAATGGAGTTTCTAGAGGAAGAAGATGAGTTTATGGTTAGGAAGAAGAAGAGGAAAGCAGCTGCCTTCTTTCGTGTCCTCCAGATCTCGTCCCCTTCTGTTTTTTGTTTTCTCTCTTTTTTTCCCCATCTCTCTTTTCTGTCTGTTCACTCTGTGTGTGTGTGTTTATGTAGCTAAATGGGAGTGTGTCAGTGAATTTGGATAAGAGGGAATAAATATAGTTATGGAGAAGGCTATGTGTCACAAAGCAATTGGTTCTAAAGAAAAAGAATCTTTGAATAAGCTAGAATGAGGGAAAGGGCACGTGATATAAAGCAAAAATAAAGGGGAAGGGAACCACTTAAATTTCTTTCTTACTTTTGCCTTTCCAACTTTTATTCTCGTTTCTTCTTCTTTTTTGCTTTTGTTTTTTTTTTAATTTTTCTTTCTTTCCTTTTTTCCTAAAGTTAAACCAAAAATACTAATTATCTAAATAATAGGAAATAACTAAAAATAAAACAAAATAGCCAAATTAGAGTAATTTTAATACTACTCAATACTTATTAAAAGCCTACAACTTTAAAACTAAACTAAGTAAATATATTATTTTTTTCTTGAGATTTTCTTCTTATCTTTTGGAAAATAAAGTGCCAAAACTATTTTTCTATTTTTTTCAAAAATAAAACTAACTAGACAAAATATCAACTAGCTAGAATAAGGGAAAATATTTTTGTGATAAAATAAAGCAAAAGAGTCAAAAAGTTAAAAGATAGTGAAAGTAGTGTCGACGCCCCCTTTTTCTCGCGAAATCGGGTTTACGACATTCGGGAAGACAACTCTATTCCCGTTTGGGAATTGGGTTTTTGGAATTGAAGAGTCGCCACCTAATGATTGAGTGCATTAGGACACTAAAAAGAGTTTTTGAGTTGAAAAACCAGAGTTCGGGTAAGGGCTAGAAATTATCTCAAGGGGAAGGTGTTAGGCACCCCTCAAGATCCACTAGTGTGGTTCCCGGCCATGCTATGTTATGACTTTAATGCAAATAGATACACAAAGGATTTTACACATAAGGGTTGCAAATAAATACGTGACAAGTATGTGGGATCAAGGTCTAAACAATCTACAATTTGTTTAAAAGGGGGACTAAACGCAGAAAATTAATCAATACATTGAATAAACAAAGAAGAAAAATCTGGAAGAAAAGGCATAATGCAGTAAAATTAAGGAGGAGTTTTGAGTAGTGGAAAAGACAGGATTTTATAGATATTAAACAAAGTTGTATAAGAAAAAGGGTCCTAGGTTTATAAATCACATGGATCATCCACACAACACCGGTAGTCAATTGTACACGTAGTGTTATCGTGTGATCATCATCTCCAGGTCTACCCTTCCCACCCCGTTAAGGTATTAAGCGCGAAATAGTCTCGTTTAATTATTGCATGCTATTACCCGTCCCACCTATCAGTCCTGGAGGCTTTAGGACTACTAATCCTAAAGGGAAGAAGCTTGGCTTTTCAGAGGTTTAAAAAGGTTAAAAATACTAAGGCGTCAAACAAAACACATGAAAGCAGTTATGGGAGCACAAAACAATTAAGGCTCAGATAAACCTCCTTTAATCACAGAAAATCATGTAGTTTAGCATGTCTTACATGTACTGATTAGGTCGAAATTATGCTTAACGTTAGGCCGGTTGGTTCATTACATATTTTCAGGCAAGGAGTTCGCATTAGGCTCGCCTGGCTACAACTTATCGAAGACCAGTGCAATTAATTAACTACATACTTGTTTGCCTACGTGATGGCCTATAGGCATGGCATCTACTGGTTTCAGGAATAAAGAAACAAACTGATTAAGAAAGTTGCCAGTTTTAACAGAATGATGCGAGTTCTGTAATTAGTGCTAATCTTAAAACGAGTGATTCGGATTTGATTGATAATTCCTATAGGCATGCTTTCTAGCGTCGTT